GCCATGAGTCTCGATGCAGGCAATCGCTTGCGGCTCCATCTTCGCCTCTGCCAAAGCTGTCATGATGACGGCCTGCTGCGAAGGTCCATGCGGCGCAGTCTGGGATGCGCTCCTGCCGTCCTGATTGACCGCTGAAGCCTTGAGCACCGCAGCAGGCTCCACTTCAAAAGCACGATGAACGCCATGCAGGGACATTGTGATTGAGGCACATCCTTCTCCACGGACATATCCGTTGGCAGACACATCGAAAGTCTTACAACGCCCGTCTGCAGAGAGCATGTGGGCCTTGCTGCATGTAATGAACAGCTCCGGCATCAAGCACAAGTTCACAGCCGCAGCAACTCCGCGCGTGCACCTCGATCGACGAATGTTAGCTGCAGTCATGTCGACAGCAACAAGTGAGGATGAGCAGGCTGTGTCCACCGTCGCACTTGGGCCCAGCAGGCCAAGCAGGTAGGACACCCGGTTCGAAGAGAGGGAGGGCGAGACTGCTAGGCCGGTGTAGGATCCGATCTTCTGAGATACTTGGCCACTGAGGCTCATGTGGCCCCAATCGTTATTGCATTGGCCCACAGCTACAGCGGCATCCATGCCCATGAGGTCCCTCTTGTCCAAGCCAGACACATGGAACGAATGATAGACAACCTCCAGCAGCAGCCGTTGCTGTGGATCCATGGCCTTTGCCTCGATGAGGTTTAACTCGAAAAAGGAGGCATCGAATTCATCGGCTCCTTGCACGAATGAACCGTGGCGCACCGTCATCTTTCCTGGAGCTTCAGAGTCCTCGTGGTAGTAAACATCCACATCCCATCTCTCCATCGGAATCTCACTCACACAATCTGACTTCTGGCTCAGTACTTGCCACCAGTCCTCCATGGTTGCCCCCTGGAATGGGAACCGAAAGGCTGCTCTGTTGGCTGCAAGCTGCAGGCTGGAATGTTGTGACGGGTGTGCAGTAGCTGGAATGGCTTCAGCTGCCCACGCGCTGTCAGACGAGAGTGATGGTCCATCAGCAAGTTCCAGAGTGAAAGGCACCTTCGCTATCCCTGAGTTGACAGTTTCAGCAAGCACCTTCGGACTGAATTTGGCCCTGACTGAGAATGTGCTGTCGGATCCAGGTTCGAAATTCAAGTCCTTGACCTGCTCAGCACTTAAGCCCGTCCTTGCCAAGATCTGCTCCAGCAACTGTGACTTGAGGCTTTGTTTGGCCTCGTCGGTACAAGAATCCAGATCTCCAGGGAACACGATGTCCAGAGAGACAGGTGCATGACCACCGCGGCCAGTTCGCACCCGACCCGTGGCTGCCCGCGTGGATGCAGTGGAACCGGGGTAAGACATCGTTTCCGCAGCGAATTCGGAAATAGCTTTTGGGCTCGGGCAATCGAACATGAGGGTGCTTGGGAGCTTCAAGCCTTCCAACTCCTTGGAAATTGCATCACGGAGCCCCACAGCAGTCAAGGAATTCAGGCCCGCTTCCATCAACGGCATGTCGTCATGAGGCTTGGATCCAAGGAATCTTGTGACAACACCTTGCACCACTTCGTCCACCTCAGCTGCCAGTTCATCACGAGCCAGATGACGGAAAGCGCTTGGCAAGGTGGTCTTCGAATGAAGCCTGGAAGAAGCTCCAGGCTGCAGGTCAGAGGGCATAGGATGACGCCTCCGATTCCAATCAATCTTGTCAGGCCTCTCAAGCAGAATGCCCTTGCCATATCCATCCTCGGGAGCTTCCAGAATTCCATGGCTGTTTGTGCCCGAGAACCCGAACGAAGTGACACCTGCGACAACGCGAGATCCTCTCCAATCGATGAGGCTGTCCGGCATGATGACAGGGAAAGCGGTCAAGTCGATGTTCGGGTTCATCTTCTTCAAATGCAAATTCTTTGGAATCATCCTGCCGAGCGAGAACGCTTACAGAATGGTGCTCCCTGATTGGAGCTTACTGTGTCATTGCCAAACTGGCCTGTGGGTAAATTCGTTGACCATCTTGATGATGCCGGCAACGCCAGAAGAACCTGCTCACACTCCATCAGCTTCGGTGTCTATATGCTTCGACCAAGTGGACTGCTGCATGATGACTAGCTGTCCTGCTCATTCAGCTTTAGACAGTGTCCGGGATTTGTTCGGCTCCAAAGCACGATCGGTTTGGGGCTGCACTCACTTGGCTTGCGGCAGGGCCTTCTGGGTGTCCAACGATGGACTTGAGTGCGGCCATGATCAACGGTGATTCATCACTGCGCTGTTTGCCCAGGGTACCCTTCATTGCACTCACCTCGTGAAGCAGGCAGGATATGTGCAAACTGCAATGACACAGGAACGAACATGACACTTCAACTGAAAGCTGTCGGCGAACAAGCATGCCATGCTGTGAGCTGTCTTGAACTGGTCTTCGCTCTCCTGGAAGAAACCCCTATATGCAGAGTAGGGCTTAGAGGCCTTACAAACAATTCGTCATCCAATCGTTCCTGCCTCAATCGGATCACCAAGGGAAGTGCCTGTCCCATGTACTTCTACAAGGGAAACCTCCAAGACCTTCACCACAGCCTCCTGCATGTCGGGAGGGTAAAACAACGGCATCCTGAAGATTTCGTCAATAGCCTATCACTGCTGGTTTTCCTGACAGACTACGACACTATAAAAACCAGTATTGATCAATGTAGCAGACTCGCATTTCCAGGTTCTCCTGTAAGCAGCCCTGGATGCACCGCTGTTGCGCAGGGCCAGACGGTGCTGTAATCGTTGCACTGCGACCATCCTGTGCGACAGGCGTGCCAGGTAAGACCGCATCAAAGGCTTCGGGTCGAATTTCTAGGTCGCATAGGATCCGCTGTCGAGGAAACCTTTTCTCGTTGCTCCTCGACCATTGCCACATAGACATAACAAAACTAATACTTACTAATAATAGCAGAAATGATAGCAGCAACAGTAAGAACAACTTAACAGTGACAGATAACTGGCCAATTATTCTAGTTATGTGGATCACTATCACCATCATATCATGATCATGACCATCACCATCACCCATCATGCTATGAACCCAGGAATATGTCAACGATACCAGTAGTAGTATTGCGATAAAGAACCCGATACCCATCATCACGGCAGTGATTATAGTAATCGGTTCAACAGAGCAAACCAACGACGACAACATTATCCATGCAAGCCTGTGCACTTCTTGTGGATTCGACGAACCATGACGAACCCCCGATTGGGCGCATCTGGAGCCCCGCCTGGTTGACACACACGCCAAGAGCCGTAGCAACTTGGTGCTGGTCGGCCTGGCGCTGGAAAGACGGGCTACCAGGCAGCTTCCCAGACAATACGGCTTGCCGGAAACTGCTACGCGGGCCTTGTTCACGCCCAACTCCAGGGTTAATGATCCCACACCATCGCTTCGCCCGAAGCCGTTGGCAGTTTCGTCGAAGGTTTTGCAGCGGCCATCCGGCGACAGTGCCATTGCCATTTTGCAAAAACCTACCTAGCCATGCCGGAAAGGTTCGAGGTGCAATAAACCACGAATCATGCTAAGAACTGCTTGCATGTCCCAGGCACCCACGTATTGGGGAACAGCTGCCTGGACAGACCAAGACATTCAGAGAGTCTTCAGGCCCAAGTGACGTGAACATCAGCCATCATCAGTCTAGTTGCAGGTTGCTGCCAGCCACGGCGCTCTTGTCACACTTGCCCAGTCGCTTGGCTTGCACAGCGCAATCAAACGCGACCAGTGTTGACCTGTAAAAAGCACTTGAACAGCTGGACACCGGCCTGTGTCACGCAAGAGTGTGCAATTGTATACCGTCATGCGTAGGCAAGCAAGTTGCGAGCATGCCGTGTCAATTGTGAGGCAAGGTCCACGAAGCCCCAGGGCATGCGAAACGCGTCCAGAGTTCCTTCGATGATGGAAAGCAAAATACACGCAGCTCGGCCTGCACGGCGCTGCCTGCGAACCTCCGTCCCTGACTACCTGAATCACACCGATATCCTGTCTCGAGGATCCGTCTCATAAAGTGCTGACATCGAATGCCATGCCGGCTAGCCAAGAAAATGCGGAAAGTCTACAGCCGCCTGATGACATCTCGAGCATTGTCGAGCCAAGACACCCTGATGCTGAAGAGCCAATCATCGTAAAGGGACCAATGTCATCATCCTCGCAGAAACCGCAAAAATGTCGGAGCAGAGAGTTGAACAGTTTCTGAGTCCAAGGAAAGGATCGCAGCAACAGCAACCTGGAGGAGCAGACCAAACTTGCTACACGCTGTTTTCATCGACATGCCAGCAGTCTGAAGAAATCCTGCACGCCAACACCCGGCATTGTAGCGCAGCCGATATAGCACCCGGTGCTGGAATTCAACAAGCTCTCCTGTGCATGACAGCACAGTACGGTTATCCGGCTACTGTGGCTGCAAGGCATGCGAATTCTGTACCGCGTCCTTGTTCTGCCTGCCATTCCAAAAAGACTCATAAACCACTTCAAGCCTGAGCAGCTTCTTCGCAAGTTGCAGCAGCCTTTTTGCTGGGAAAGGGAATTGGCCAGCAGCACGTGGAGCCTGGTTGCAGCACCAATTCCGGTAAGAGGCAAGATTCGCTGGTGCGGATCCATAGCTTGAGCTTCGGGTTCCGCGATGCCAAACATGACGTTGTCAAAGCCCTGCAGCGCATTGCCATTTCTGCGGTAAACACACATATCTGCAAACTGTTACTGAGTTGCTCACAACCTGCTGTTCGATCTAAGTGGCGGGGGCAAAGGACAGAGTAGTTCAAACAATCCTTTCGCGGTCGACGTCGCTGTAAAATGCCCACGTTACAGAAATGTTTTGATGTGGTGCTAGGACAAGTAGACCAACAAGCCCCAAAGAAACTTGATGCAAAATCGATTTGTCCGGGAATGGCTTCTGGCGCTGCATCTGCTGGTCCTACTGATGCTACCGCTCTGCCAGTGTCGCAGCGACAACCACTGAAACAAGTAGAAACACTGACATCTTCATTCCCTCTTGCCTAGATTAGATTACGTTCCATTCCAGGCAAGCGCGTTTCGACAGAAATCGGTCGAGCCTCCAAACCGCCGATGAAACCGCCAAAACGTGTGTACCTTGACTTGAAGCTTGATGCCCATCCACTGCAAGCAGTTGCACCGCACGCAGCTCACTAAAACGCATCCCAACCGTTTGGTCCCAAAGCTGCATCTTGCCAGGCTCGCTGGGATCCGGATCAAAATAAAGGTCAATGTCCCATCGCTCACTGGGCACCGTGGTTATCATATCAAGACCCGCCTTCAGCATGGCCCAATACCTGAGCACATCTGAGCTTAAGGTCTTGTTTAGTAGCTCGCAGCTCAAGCTTGCAGCGTCAGCAGCTTAGGGCAGTTCGCTTTGCTCCGGACTGAGACGCTGACTCATCAGGGCTGTTTCCGCTGCAGCCAGCGAATCTCGCGGCACAGCCGGCAATCGCCACCGACTCTGACACGTTGAAATCTCGCACATCTGCCAAGCGGATGGCGCAGGGCTGTAAACAAGGTTGGCGTGGCAGCAACGGAACATGTATGAATATGCTCACGAACCACTGTTTGCTGTTGTGGACCACATCAAGGTCGCACTCTTCGAAGAATTATCATACACAGACAAACAGTAAAACTGGTCTGATGGAAGCAGCATGCGAACAACACTGCAACAAACAGACTGACGAATCGTCGCTGCAAGTGCACCGCTATGATGGCCAGGAAATCTTCGAGAAACTACGAGCCTGATCAGAACTCTGGCCATCAGGCGGCGAACGAAACTGGTCGACTGATCATGGTGGCAACGGTTTTGCTGCTTTAACAAGGCTGTTCCATTGATGTGAGTAAGTATGAGTAAGTGGCCAAGATCCCACATCGTGTGTCTGGCAGGGATACAACAGTGATAGTAGCGACTACTTGGTGCCTTCGCTTAACTATTGTTTGCCGCATGTGGCTTGCATGGCCTGGAACGGACTCATCATCCTTGCTGTCATCTCCAGATAACCTGGCGGAGATGAAGCCAGTCAACTCTGTCACGGTAGGGAAGTCAAAGATGACCTTGGAGCATCATTAATGAACAGTGGACCTCACAGTTCCACGAGGTCCTTTGACGTCCTAACATCTGATGCAGTTCACATCAAAGTGCTGTGGAAGCCAGATGGACGCCGTCGAACGAAGCCTGAATCAAGTTCCTGAACTCCACGACAGAGAGGGAGTCCAGGCCCATGTCCATGAACGGTACAGAGAAATCTGTCCAATCAGGATCTCCAATAACACTGCGCAGCGCATCGATGATGGTGGAACTGATCAGTTCCTGCCCACCCAGCAATATTGTGGGTAGGGATGCGGCTGTGGGACTTTTGCAGAACGTGCCTCTGACACGCCTTCAGCACGGATGCTCGCACCTGACACGGAGAGTGGCCAGCGCACACTCTACTTGTTGGCATCGGGCGTGCTAGTGCTGTGCTTGCTTTCATGGCTGCATCGCCCTCCCTACATCGCTTGCTGACTGCTGCCTGCAGCTTTCTTGAGGTGCTTGAAGTTTGTCAGGAAGCACGGCACTTTCCGCTGCACGGCGAGGAAAGACGACCAATCGATGCGCGAAATCCCCAGAACACCGCCAGGTGAGGGTGTGGCAGCCAAAGCTGCGCCCAGGGCCTGGAGGCCGTGCGAGTATGGTCGGAATTGAGCAAAACAACCTTCCTCTTAGAGTCTCTGGGAACTTTCGTGCCTGCAAACTTGCGTTCGGATCCAGCCGCAAGTAGCCGCCACTCTCCCTCGTCCCTGCCCGAGCAGCCATGCCCACTTCAGCCCACGGTCCCCATTGAACGGACACAGCCGGAAGACCTGCAGCAAGGATTCACACGTCAGTCTGGACGGCTGCTACTTTCCAGTGCATAGCGATGATGACGCATGACAAGAGGCCTTGGCCACATCGGTGCAGCGCGAAGGAATCAAGGAAGGTGTTGGCAGCGCAGTAGTTTGCTTGACCACGAGATCCCAACATGGCTGCCACAGAAGAGAAAAGCACAAAGAAATCCACCTTCAGCAGAAGCTCGCGAGGCAGTAGCCAGATTCAGTGCCCACATTAAAGTTGAATATACAGAACAGACGAACCTACCCACAGCTTCTCAGCAGACTCAGTACGGCTTTTGGACAAGACTACAGCCCTGCTAAGTCTCATGTCACTCTCTTGACGGAACAACTTGCTCAACCTGCGACATGTTCTGAAATATGGCTGTCGCCAAAAATCAGTGACAAAGGTGGAATGCAAATGTTGGGAGCCGCTGTCCCTCTGATCATTATGACAATCAGTGTGAAGTGTATCGCTAGTTCTTCTACAAAGTACAGTGTTATCCTTAACAGCCGCTAGCACACGTCTAGCATCATGGCTGGTATCATAATCACCCTTGTGCTTACTGTAATGTTACTTTGGTAAATACTGTTGCTGATCAGAAACACCCTTCCATCCCTTTCCTAAGCAAGAGGACCCAGCCTTGCTGCTGTCCGTGGTCTCAAGCCCAAGATTGAAAAAGGATTTCTGAAGATTCCTTGGCAAATTGGTATGCATCTCATGACGTGTGCTGACGAGCTCTGAACAAGCGCACGAATCGATGAGGAAATGCTGAGGTCCTTTCACAGAGCCGTCCACCTTCGGCTTAAAGACATTGGCGAAATGATTGCGAGTAAGATCTGCAATAAGGTGATCATCCAAGACCTGATGCGGGGACCAGCTAGCGCATGTGTCTTCAGCTCATCCCAGCAACACGCGATTCGCGTCAGCATGGCCATACAACACAGACTCGATGGTGCATCAAAACATCTTGTATTTCGATCTGCCCTGTCCAACCGCCAGTTAAGCTTCAGACGCCGGCTGCATGAACAACTCCGGTGAGAGGTTTCTGAGCATGGACTGACTTCAAGCCTGATGTCGCGGCCTGGCAAACGGCTTGACCCAAGGACTGGTCAGGAAAGGCCATGCCCTCATAAGTTTTGTGGGAGACTTGCTCGCCTCCTCAACGGCGACGTCGCAACATTGCAAAGTCGTGGCAACACCGGTGTTTCGGAGCTTCGCGTACGAAGCTGCAGCAGTCGGCTCCTGAGGCAATTTCGGGCTGCTCAAACTTCCGGTCATGCCTTATCCGAGACTGTCTGCGAGCTGCAACTTGCAAGTGGTCGCATGATATGGGGTGCTTTGACAAGAGTCTTTATCCCAGCCTTCTGTCGCCGAAGTGCACCCCCTACCCCCACCGCCCGTGTCTGTGCCCATCGGGGCGGGCTGACTCTGCCCCGAGGCTCGACATTCTACCGCAGAAGTGCTGCTGAAAAAAGCAAGGAAGACTGCATGAGGTGGGACATCAAATAATGCAGAATGAGCGGCATGAAGCACATTCGAAGAAGGCTCGGGCAAGAAACGCATCGATGTCAAGACCGGACACACACGCACAAACTTGAAGAGAAGAGCAAACAACGGAACGTAGTGGCACGAAGCGAAAACATCTCTTACACAAGACTATGCGCAGCAGGTATTGCACCTATCAGTCCGTCGGTATCTCGCAAACCTTTTCAAAACTCTGAGTCCTGTGAAATGTTGCCGGTGCGCGAGAGCAAGGCGACATGCCCTGCACCATTCTCCGCAAACCACGTAGCAACCAGAAGCCCCAGGCCGCTGGTGCCGCCGCTAATAGCAATGCTACCATCGCCTGGACCTGGCAAAAAAAAAAACTGGGCTCATGGCCAATTTAACAAAACAGCATGACACCTGTTACAAGCACAGAAAAGACGAGGGCTGAAAATGCCAAGCGTCGATACCTAGACATGTCCACCTTCCGGAATTTCCCGCTGGTGTCTTCCAATCGATGGACCAGCAAGGCGAGGTTTGGACTCTGCAGCTCCGTGTGGAGGAGCAGCTCCGGCTCCATCAACTCCACGTCGCTCTGGCGATGCAGCTTCAACTTTCGCAGCCTGATCATGGCGCCGAAGAAACATTCAAGATCGTTCAAGCGAAGCACCTACCCCGACTACGGGCCCGCCGGGCCCAGAATTCTATTATGCTTGTTCTGGCATCTGCAGAACCACTAGGTCACCAGGCCTGGCCTGGCGATGACATCACCAGAACCTTTGCAGTTGACGCCGAGGTCCACGCAGCCAGCAAAGGAGCCGGGCGACTCGAGCCGGAAGCAGCGGGCCAAGCCCCAGAGACCAGCATGCCATGGGATGGCCTCGCCCTTCAAAGATCTCGCATCCATGGCCTGGCTTCGCACATCATGCTGAACGTGGCCTGCTAGTCGTGCCCTACGACCCCTGCCTGAGTGGCGTGCAACACGAACCACACCACTGGGCTGACGTTCATGCGCAATGCCATCTGAATCAGAGCAATACCATTCTCCACAACATCAAGTGGGGAATCATCCGGCGATGGGATGTACACCATCTGTGCAACTTGAAAGTCTTCGGAGACACATGGCAGAGAAGTGCAGCAAACATGCTCCTCACCAACTTCTGCTTTAAGCGAATCCAGCAAGCCAGCATCCGCCAGAAAAAGCCACTGCTCATCAGAATTTCTGGAGGGCAAGAAGCCCTGGGCACTTTCCGCATCACCGATGTGGCCAACCCACTTCGATTCAAAGAAGCTGATCTGGCCCGGTGCTGTCTTTCTGGCACCAGCCTTCTGCACTTGGTCAGGTAGCACCTTCCTAAACACCACGTCCTCTAGCCGCCACAACAGGGATCCCGAATGACTGAAAACACGGCAGGTAAAGACCTGTTCCTTGTCTGTGTTTTCAGTGAGCTGCAAGTGCAGCACCAACGGGCGATCCGTCGGCACATCACTGGTATGTATGGAAACTTTTCCGACACCTGCAAATATCTTCAGTGTTGGAGTCGTGTCGTCAGCCACCATTGCGCATGCTGCATGAATCGAGCCATCGAGGAGGCATGGATGAATAATGTAACCTTCGCCGGAGACATCAGGACTGAGCTGCAGCTGGCAGGACACTCCATCTGCATCGCGCCGGATGTCATAGCACACATGGAACATGGGTCCCAGATGCAGCCCTGATCTATCGACAAGCGCGTACAGACTTGCAGAGTTGACTCCTTCATCTCTTTCTGTGCTAGCATGTTCCTGGTTCCTGTCCGAGTCCACGGTTTGTGCCGTCGTCTCCACAGCAGTAGCTTCGACACGCCCCTCACAGTGAACGGTCCAGGCATCATCATCAGGGCCCCGGCTTCGCAATTCAAAGCGCTTGTTGCCTATGATCGCAAGGCGAAGGATCACCTGCTTGCCATCAACGTCACTGTCCTTTGGCACCACACAGGGCCACAGCATGTGCACGCTTCGCAGCTGAGCCTGCGGACCCAAATGCGCTCTGGCGGCCTCCATTGCCATTTCTACAAATACCATGCCAGGAACGACCACCTCACCATAGACCATGTGTTCCGAAACTATACGGAACACATCGGAGTGCAGAGGGCAGTCAAAGTAAACCTCGTTGGGTGCCGTAGCTCGATGCCGAAGGAACCGAGGCAATGCCTCCCGCCAAGGGAACGCCAGCCGCCGAAATTCCAGCTGCGAGGCCTCTGCAAACCGTGAGAGTCTGACAGACTCAAGAGAGGACAAAGACATCACCTACATGTAAATGTTGTCCGGCCGTTGTCTTGAAGGTCCGGCTCGGGAGGCTGGGATTTAATTGCGCAACATGCACAGGCATCACCTGAGCCCAAACCCCATCCGCACGAGTCCTTGTGCCCCCACCTCAGACCTACAGTCTCCATTATTTCTTCTCAGCAGATTCACAGTGCAAAGTTAGTAATTCCGTAATTCCACCCGGTGCTTTTCCGGAGTTCTCTGGAGGTCTTCCTCCGCGAACTGGAAGCCACCCTCTGGATTCCGACTCTTGTCGATATCGGGTTCCTTTCAGCTTGGTAACACGATCCTAAGACTGAGGGCCAAATGACCCAGGTTTGTTGTGGCCCAACATCTGGACCGATCCGTAGTGTTCTCTGGGACATGCCCTTTTCAATTCAGCTGAGTTATCTTGCAATGAGGGCGCTGCTAGCACCGCAATCTCTCTATCGATGCCGGACAGCTTTGACCTCCCATACCGTGCCTTACTGCTCGGATCTGTATTTAAGGTCGGCTAGAGATATTTAGCTCGCACGACAATCGCAAAGGCAACTTGATGGCCCACCCGAAATAAGGCCTTCCAGGAATCATCTGGCTGAACGGCGTGCTTGCAGATTGCGTGTGCATTTGTGCCGCCAAAACCAAAGGACTGCAAGCCTGACAAGGAAACACACATGAAGATGCGAGGGAATGCTGGCTGCACGGCAAGTTCACCCGCAGTTAATCTGCTGATTTCCATGGGCCTGAGAAGAGCATGCCTCCTGAGAGCTGCTGGGAAACGGCCGGGATCATCGCTGGAAAGTCATCCAAGTCGATCTTTGGATTCAACTTTGCCAAGTGAAGGTTCGGGGGTGTGACACCTCGGCGGGACCGGAGAGACGGGGGGTTGGCAATTGGGGCGAACGTTGCCATGGCAACAACAGCGGCAGGACTGCAACCAAGACTAAGCCCCGCACCATGCTTTAAGGCCAGAAGGGTCTTTGCCAATCCTGCTGCACCCGCGGCACCTTCCAAATGTCCTGAAGCTATCAAGTTGTGCCGGCATGAGCTCTGCTCTACCTTCCAATACCCTGACGTTGTTTTGGAAGCCTCGGATTCTCAGTGGATGATAAATCTCAGACTCGGTTTCCGATTTCTACAGTCACAGTCGGTGCTATTGCAGCACAGTGCATCTCGTTTAGTAAACCAGATCGCTTCCCGCTTCCAAGCATCAGATGCTGTGTTTATTGTTGTCAAAAACGAAGGCCTTCCGATACCATTCCAAAGACCTCTGATCCTCCTCCCTGCACCCCAAACACAAACTCCGACCCGCTATCGGAGCCTGTTTTCGACCCCCTTGCCCGGCTTCCGTCCTGTCACCCGTGATTTTCACAATTTCCCATGTCATTTTGTCAACCACCCCCCCTCCCCCTGACCCCCACCCCACCGCCCCCCGCAACCCCTCTGCCCCCCGGGCCGGCCCACGACTTCTCTTGACTTGCCCCCTTCCCTACCCTGCCCAAGCGTTCCTTCTCCTTTTTCCACCTTCCCACTGCTTTCCTGCCCCAAGCTCCCTCCTTCCCCTTGCTCCCCTTCCTTCTGCCCCACTTCCTTCTTTTCTTTGTCCATCTTTTACCACTTTTCCATCTTCCTCCGCCACTTTTCCATCTCCCCGCCGCCTTTTCCATCTTCCCCTGCTTTCGCTCGCGTGGTTTGTCCATTGCTCTTCTCCTTCGGTTCTCCTTTCCCCTTCCTGCCATGGGCGCCGCTGCTGGCACTACTGGAGCCGCCAGCCGAGGCGGGCCGCGTAGCGTTAGAATTACAAGTGCTGACAGGTCATTGCTTCCTTTGACTTCTGCAAATTAAAATTCACACTGCCAGCTGAATCTGGTGCGCATCTTTCGATTGCCAACACATTTCCTGATGTCAACACCTGGCCCTTTCAAGAAGCAAAGGGCCGTGCAACCGATCCTTGGTGCTCCTTTGAAGGGAAATCCTCAAACTATCGCGATATCGAAAAGCCGAGACACAAGCTTCTCATGCCCGCAGCGAAAGGTTCCTAAACTTAGCTCGGAAACCTTCCAAACACATCCATCTGCTTTTCTCTGGTAGCACAGGAACGATTCTTACACCGCCGGATCCTGAACCCTGCTGGGCTTAACCAGCTTTGGACAAGTTAGCACATGGTATGTCAGGCAGACAACAGGGGAGCCAGACTTGCCGTCTGTCTGTGCACCAGGGGGGGGGTAAGTTGGGCCACTTTTCTTTGCTTCCGGCCATGAGAGGCAGAGCCAGATAGACAGCCGCATGCAAATGACAAGAAAAGGCAAGGAGCTTTCTTGGAGACAAACAGAGAGAGGGAGAGAGAGGGAGAGAGAGAGAGAGAGAGAGAGAGAGAGAGAGTGGGAGGGGGAGGGGGAGGGGGACGGAGGGAGGGGGAGGGCAAAGCAGGAAAAGGGTATGAGGGCCGCAGCAGCCGAGGAAGGGAGTGCATCAAGACAGACTGTGTAATTTTCCTTGCTGACATACCCCATGATGGCGACAGATTCCTTATCCTGAACTTGCTTTGTGTCTTGTACGGACCCAAAGCATGCAACAGCAGCAGTCCTAAGTTGGTCTTGACGGCTGCCAAATGCACGGGCATGGAACGGCCAGGGCCGAGAACTGCTTTCAATGCTCCTGTCTCAACTGGATCACCAAGAGCTGTTCCGGTACCGTGACACTCCACCAGACTGATTTGCGTGGAAGATATTTTCGCAAGCTGCACAGCCTTCTGCATGGCTCGCTGCTGTGCAAGGCCATTTGGAGCTGTCAATGTCGAACTTTGGCCATTCTGATTAGCAGCCGATGCGGCGACAAGTACGCGGTCATGAAGGTGTACTTCGGCAGCTCTCTCAAGAAAAATGGATCCGCATCCTTCACTACGTGCGTAGCCATTGGCGGATATGTCGAAAGTTTTGCAACGGCCATCAGGGGAAAGCATTCGTGCCTTGCAGAAGGCAACGAATGGCTCAGAGATCAGGTTTAGCTGCACCCCGGTGACTATGGCAGTCATCAACTCAAACCCGAGCTTTTGGTATGCAATGTCTAATGCCACCAGGGAAGATGAGCAAGCTGTGTCGATTGACATGCTTGCACCTTGCAAGCCCAGGTTGTACGAAATTCGATTGGCCGAGATGGACGAATGCGTGCCAGGGCCAGTGTAAGGGTTGGCAGCTCCCTGAGCGGACAATTTCGCCCAGTCGCTGCTGCACTGTCCAACAAAGACACCAACCTGAGAGCCACGTAGCATCTGCTTCGTACTGCCAGCGTTGTGGCAGGCACTGTAAGACATCTCCAAAGCCAGGCGCTGCTGCGGATCAATGGCTTTTACTTCGGCAGCAGACATCCCAAAGCAGCCTGCATCGAATAGCTCTGCACCTTGAATGAAACCTGCGCGCATCCATACCAAGCATGGTCTCAAAACACGAAGCGAGGCAAATCTCTCCGCAAACAAAGCCTCCGTGCCGCACGTACATCACGTTGCCAAGAGCCTTCAGAGCTGAGATCGCGCAGTTGAGGCAGCATGTCTTTTATGCCTTCTTCCTTTGGCTGTCACCCTATGCCACCTATGCACGGCTGAGACAAATCCGCCGAGGCCACAGGCCCGGGTGTCATGCGCGTCAGCTCAGATACCCTCCACCTAATCCTGCAGCCGAAAGTTTCAACCAATCCGCTTTTTGTGCTCAGTTCCCAACCCCCCGCCCGGCCCCCCTTCATTTTACCTACTTCTTCCCCGCTTCCACCTGCCCGCCCCCCTTGCCCCCCTTTCGTGGTGTTTTTCGATCTCACTCCCTCCCCTTCCCACTCCCCCCGCCTCCCTCCCAAGGTCATCGATAGACAGCGACCCTGCTGCTCCATAGCCAAGGCGGGCGGGGCAAAATGAGACGCGAAATGCACGATTCTTATACAATGTGGAGCCTCTACGTCTTCAGCGAAAACCTCGTGCAAGTCAAATCGCGACAATGGAATTTCCTCACAGGTCAAGACCAAGTGCAGAGTCTTTCCTCGCTGCTTGCCGCAAGAAAATGCAAGACCACCTACCCTGAGGTCTCGACAGATATTGCGTCTTGGAACTGGATCCAACGAGACCAGCAGGGCTCAGGACCTTCCGGGCCACCGGGAAAGAGACAGGCCAAGCCAGCCGCGCCAACCGTGTAGCTTCCTGCACGCAGACCAGCTCCACATGCACCTCACACTGTCTCCTACTGAAGACGTCCTGTCCAAATCGGGGCTACCGCTTCCAGAGCAGGGGATGCCGAAGACGACGAAACCAATTGAGAACTGGCGAAATCGGCAATAGCCCGAAGCGTAGGGCGATCAAAGACAAGCGTGTTCCTTAGATCGAAAACCATCTTCTCAGCGCCTGCAACACCAATGCTACTCTGCTACTTGCTGCCACAGAACGGAAACTTGACGCCATCTTGCGCTTCTGCTGCAAGGCGATTACGAAGCTCAATCGAAGACAAGGAGTCCTGCGGAATGCAAGGTTCTTTTAGTCTTTGTTGCCATGCCAGCACATTACACGTCGAGTGAAACCAGCACGTTCTTTAGTCTTCTTGCAAGCACTGCTGCTCAGCAGCATTTTATACCACAGTGTCACTGTCACAGGCGTAAAGGTTTTCTCCGCTCGCCGTTTACATCACCACCCACGTTCAACCAGCACCCTCATCAGTTGCGTAGGCCACCCCCGTTATTACCATGTCCAGGCTAAAAGAATCAATGCCGACATGAAGGTCAGTGACACACCTGCGCAAAATAAACAGTGATCTAGCGTATTGCACACATGC